CAGCATTGACACTACAGCTTGTTCTAGTGGTTATGGTGCCAGGAATGCATTTGCATCTTATGTTAAGATGTTTTAGTACATTTGACAACTTACCTGAATTCTACTGCTGGCATCCTCTGTATTTGAAGCTGAATGTCTCTGTATAATAAAGACTGGCCAATGTAGGACCATTCTGAGACTACTAAGCTTACACTCAACCAACGAGCATGGCTGTGCCTGACTCTGCTTTTTGCTATAGAGCAATCCAGATTGACCCGAGTCCAGGGGATGTGGATGATAAAATTATCTGACATCTTACACCCCTGGCATCATAACCACTACAGTAGGCTGTAGTGGTATGTTGATTTAAGTGTTCCGTTAATCTATAACAACATCCAAGAAATAGTAATTTTTTTATATCTGCAATAGTGCAATATATGTACGGCTATACCTATTCTATTTAATATAGAATAAACAGTAGGGATACAGAAAATCCTAGAGGGTATAAAATAAAAATAATGGTGTTGTTCTCCCTAACACCACTAAATGTAAATAAAAGATATTTGCACTCACAAACATAGGTTTAACAGAAGCCTTGAATCAAATCGATGGTGTTTTCCAGAGTTTCAATACATGGAAGTCCAAACTGGAAAGATATTACAAAGAGTAAAACTAATAGTGCAGGACGCTTATATAGTAAAACGAAACATAACATTTATTTATACGTAACTTAAAAATAAATAGACAAGCATGAAATCAGCATCACCAATCGTGAGCAAGGAATGTCTTGGTAAAAAAAGTTATTATTTATAACGTGATCAAGGCATTTGAAAGACACTGTAATTGTTTTGCATGAGAAGGAATATTTCACATAAATTTATAATAAATAATGTATATTATAAAATAATAATTGCTTAAATAGATCAGATGAAAATGTACATAATTGTGCATGTACAGAAAAATAATATGATATGAAATAGCAACCAACACTTAGCACTGTGATATATTCTGAACAATACTTAGCAAATGGGCTGTTTCCCCCCAAGGACTGTCCCTGGTCCATTGGCATACATATAGAGGCCGTCCTGCAGACCCCTGCAACCTGGTGCCCGCCATCATCATTTGCGGCCTCAGCCCGTGCAGCAAACCGCCAGGGCCGCATGTTAAGGTGCCCATCGGGTGGTCCATGCTGTCAGGCCCACCTGATGGGTATGGATTTTCAGGGGGCCCACTTGTGGCGAAACTAGCCTCGCCACTGGGTTATGGAGAAGCCAGCCTACTGCCTCATGACTATGGACCCTCTCATCAGCCAATGCTAGACTTAACCCCCATGGTGATTTGACTGTGTTTGTGGGATCTGAGCGCTGTTTTTTATATATTGAGCGCTCAGATCCAAGCCATGTGGGGATAGGTTGAATGTGGGGGTTCTGTTCAGTATGATAGACATTATGTATTTTTGCTGTTGTTGTGAATAGAGAAATTTTCTGTACCTGGAGATAGTTGGCTTACCTCACCCAGTGAAGCCAATTATCTCCAGGATAGAGGACTCTGTGGAACTGGTTTTGGCTGGAAAGCCATGCTTCAGTGGTCACAAAGGACTTCGACCTAACTTTTAAACCAATAGAAGGAATTGTCTGATTTTTGAGTATGTTTGTATTTGGAGTATGCTGATTCTGAAAATCTGATGTATACTTTTAAAGTTAGGAATAGTGTGTAAAACTGTATTTTCCTGCCTGTGATAATTACGTTAGCCCATTGTGTTCAGTAATTGTATCACAGGCAGAGGGGAGGATTTCTGCTGGTATGAATGGGAGTGTTTAGCTGTGTTGTAATGTATTGATTGGTTTGTTCTTCAAAACCCTGTGGGGGATACTATGTTTGTAAAATGGGCATAAAAGCAGAGAGTTTGATTAAAAAGCTCTACTTCACCCTCAATCTGAGTCCTGTCTCTTATTGGGGGAATCTGCTACAGGGGATTGCTATGCTTGTCATACTCCCTTGCTAAATCACTACTAAGCTCTTGTAAGAGCTTGTTCCTGCCTTGCTCTCTGGAAGAGTCTATAGGGGTTATGGTGTTTGCTGAAGTGCTTGGAATCCTCAGGAACCACTTGGAGCATCCTTCAATGGAGGTACCCAGTCGGGGTACCAGGTGATCCGTTACACCGGTCAGCGCAGCGGCGCTTTAAAACGCGACCAGGTCCCCTGTGATGAGATCATCACACGCTGGGAGGAAGTGACTCCCTGTCACTCCTCACAACTAGCCCTGAGAACCCGCGCGGTTTCCCACCAGGGCCCCATGGGTTGTGTGTACGCCACTACCCTGGTCCCAGAACTTGCACAATATATAAAAGAAACAGTTGAGATATAGCAAGTCCTAAAGGATATAAACAGCAAGGAAGTAGTTACCAATAGTGGCAAAACGCATTGGCCAGTGACAACCTGTATCCTCACGATTGCATCCTCCGTTTCCAACAGTAATACAATCTTCAATCTAACAATGCGATGCAATAGCAAGGTTATTTAATCCAAAAATGCTATGTTGGCCAGTGGCAAGCTGCATCCTCACGACTAGGGATGTTGATCACATGCTTGTCTATTTGTTTTTAAGTTACTTTTAAATAAATGCGCTGTTTAGTTTTACTATATACGAGCTACCATATCATTATTTGTATTTTACTTTATACCCATTAGGACTTGCTGTATCCCAACTGTTTCTTTTATATATTGTGCACGTTCTGGGGCCAGGGGAAATGGGTAAGCATTCCATTTAATAAATATTGCTCAGAATATGCCACCTTACTGAGCGTATCATTATTTTTCTGTACATGCGCGATTATACGTTTTTTACTCTATTCTATTTAAGCCATATGTCTTATATAATATATTATTTACTGTTAATTTATGTAAAATATTCTGTTCTTATGCAAGCCAATTGCAGTCTCTTTCAAATGCCCTGATCCCTGATGTTATACATAATTGATTCTTTTTAGAAGAAATCCCTTGCAAGTGATATTTTCTGTGCAATTTTTTATTTGTTATATTTTGCTCCATTGTGTTAACTTCACTATTTTCATTTTGGTGTTTGAATAGAAATAGAAAAAATAAATAAAGCAACAACAAAATTGACAAAATTATAACAAAATTGTAATTATTAACAGAGTCCCCCGGATTGGTACAATTTAAAAAAAATATATTAAAATATTTCATTTAAAACATGCACGTCGAACTGTTGTGCAGTAATTTAAAGAGAACAAGCACAATATTTGTGGGATTTATCTTTTAAAAAACATACATAACTGTACAAAAAAAAGTTATAAAAAAAAGTTTATAGAATTTCATATGTTTTGCACATATAACAAACAAAAAGTGAAAAAAAAGATCAAAATAAAATAAAAAAGAAACGCATTGACCCACCAAAAAACATTCGCCACCTTTAGTTTTAACTGAAGTAATGTTTCTGTGCTCTACCCTAGAAGGTGTGAACTGAGGTGTTATCATTCTTGTGAATCTGTCCAGATTTCAAATGAAGTCAATAACGGATGCAGCAAGGCATGGAATACTATGCTTTGATGTTACCATCCAACAATGCTGTCACTGGTTTGAAATAGTATTCGACTGTTCTATAACCTCCACTGTAGGTAAAACACAGACAAATGTCCCTTTGGAAAAAAGTCACTTCTATGTCCCCTGCTATCCATGAGACATGCAGTGCACTCAAAAAATATAGATCTCCCAATCTCTGCTTTATTAAGCCTCCGGTACAAACAAACAGTGTCCTTTTATAATGGTATTTAATTAAATTAAGCTTATAACAAACAAGTCTAAATAAAGAATATGCTTGGCCTCTGGTTAATACTATGCCAGATGACCTTGTATTTGTGCTTTGCTAAGACATTAGTTCTCTGTGAGCTTCTGCTTCTACTGCCGATTATTCTATCCTACAAACAGTATTTTATAATGTTTTAAATCCTTATTTAATTTATTTAAAAAATAATATAATGCCGCTGGCTGGTAGGGTTAATGTAGGGACTAATTAGATTATAAACTAAGCTTTTTACCTGATCATTAACTAGCTATTAACCTGCTTCTTTGTATCAGGAAGAGTTGCCTAAAGGAGAATTCACTGAGCTGTGTTATTCAAGTTTAGGAATCTTAAACATTAGGGGAAATTAAGAATGGCTTGCCCAATATGGCCTGCCTTTTTATTAAGTAACTGAAAACCTCAAGCCATTACAAGAAACTTCAATTAAATTGTATCCCTCAAAAGCATATCAGTAAGCAAAAAAATTAATAAAATGAAATCAGTATGTCCGGATAGCATTCTTTAGGATCCTTTAAACATGTTCAGCAGTTTTGAAAATATGGGGCAGGTTTTATTTATTTTCAATGTATAATTTTTTTTGAGGTTTTGCAAATACTTTATCAGGAAGATTAATGTACTTGTCGCAAAATCAGATTACAATGCATAAGAATTAAGCATGAAAAAAATGTTGAGCAATTTATACCTAATACAAGTGATACACTTGTAGCCGAACACAAAAAAATGTTTTTTCATATGGTCTAAATAGGGTAGACTAACACATACCTTGGGTATGCAGGCCACACATTTTCACATTAGACATTCATGGCAATTATCGAGTTTTGTGCTTTGTGATCTCTACACATTACCTAAGGCCATGTAAAGTAAAAATAAAATAAAGATGAAGATGAAAATACCAGAACAGAGACGATACAAAGGATATAGAAGGGAAAGTTGAGGGAGGGGAGAACATCAAAGTAAATATCTGTGTGACCATTGTTGTATTCCACATAAAGGATTTGTTGTTTATTGAATAGAACAACCTCTAAAATATAGAGTACCTCTACTATACAAGCAGTGTTACCAGATAACATGTCTATTATGAATTAATGCGTCACTTATCACCACCAGTCCTTGCATTAAAGGACCACTATAGTGCCAGGAAACCATACTCGTTTTCCTGGCACTATAGTGCCCTGAGGGTGCCCCCACACTCAGGGTCCCCCTCCCGCCCGGCTCTGGAAGGGGGAAAGGGGTAAAAACTTACCTTTTTCCAGCGCTGGGCGGAGAGCTCTCCTCCTCCTCTCCGCCTCCGATCCGCCCCGCCGGCTGAATGCGCACGCGCGGCAAGAGCTGCGCGCGCATTCAGCCGGTCTCATAGGAAAGCATTTACAATGCTTTCCTATGGACGCTGGCGTGCTCTCACTGAAAATCACAGTGAGAAAGCGCAGCGCCTCTAGTGGCTGTCAATGAGACAGCCACTAGAGGCTTTGGGGGAAGGCTTAACCCATTCATAATTATAGCAGTTTCTCTGAAACTGCTATAATTGTGAAAAAATGGGTTAACCCTAGAAGGACCTGGCACCCAGACCACTTCATTAAGCTGAAGTGGTCTGGGTGCCTAGAGTGGTCCTTTAAGAGACCCTGCGTTACAGAAACTGTCTTAAATTGTGGAGAAATGATTGGCATGTATTAAGTTGAGGATGGGTATTTCTCGCGTGCTGTGCTCCAGCTAACCCATAGTAATTCGAGTACTCATGTGTTTGTAGTTTTCCCAATATCTTAAATGCCATTTATTCATGTTGGTAATGGGGCAGGTTTTATGCTATGTACCTTACATCAAATATTTCCCTGGTTCACTTGCAGAATATCATTTGGTAACATTAGCTTCTTTCAAGAATGTTGAGCTTACTATTAGAGTTGAGCGGACACCTGGATGTTCAGGTCCCCTGCATGGCGGGTGGGGGCCTTAAATAACCATAAGGGGGACCTAATGTCCTCCACCAGGCCCCCACCCCTGCGCGGCAGGTGGGGGCCCTTAAATAACAATAAGGGGGGGACCTAATGTCCTCACCCCCGGCACCCACCCCTGCGCGATGGGTGGGGGCCCTAAATAACAAAAAGGGGAGACCTACTGTCCTCCCCCCCAGCCCCCACCCCTGAGCAGTGGGTGGGGGCCATAAATAAAAATTGGGGGGACGGACCTAATGTCCTCCCCCCGGCCCCCACCCCTGTGCGGTGGGTGGGGGCTCTAAATAACAATAAGGGGAGACCTACTGTCCTCCCACCCAGTCCCCACACCTGCGTGGCGGGTGGGGACCCTAAATAACATTAAGGGGAGGACCTACTGTCCTCCCCCCCAGCCCCCACCCCTGAGCGGTGGGTGAGGGCAATAAATAAAAATTGGGGGGGACCTAATGTCCTCCCCACTGGCCCCCACCACTGTGCGGTGTGTGGGGGCTATAAATAAAAATTCCTCCCCCCAGGTGACTAGGGGTCCCCAAACCCCTAGTCAGCCCCCCCCCCAAAAAAAATCCAAATAAAAATCCAGAATAACCGACGCACTTTAAAAAAAAAAAAAAAAAACTGAGCGCAAAAAAAATAATAATCCTTCTTCACCCATGGATCGCTCAGCGCAGACTTATAAAGCCTTGCCCCGCCCTGCAATTAGGCCCAGAGCACTCTGATTGGTGGGTTTAAGCCATCCAATCAGAGTGCTCTGACAGGTAAATAAAGAGACTGACAGGTAGGTCTCTACATTTACCTGTCACAGCACTCAGATTGGTTGGCTTGAAATCCACCAGAGTGCTCTGTGTCATTTTACACAGCGTGGGAAAGTTCTTTGGAATTTTCCCACGCTGTGTAAAATGACACAGAGCACTCTGATTGGTTAGCTTGAAATCCAGCCAATCAGAGTGCTCAGTGTCATTTTACACAGCATAGGAAAGTTCTTTGGAATTTTCTCACACTGTGTAAAATGATACAGAGCACTCTGATTGGTTAGCTTGAAATTCAGCAAATCAGAGTGCTCTGTGCCATTTTACACAGCGTGGGAAAGTTTTTTGGAATTTTCCAACGCTGTGTAAAATGACACAGAGCACTCTGATTGGTGGATTAAGTAACCAATCAGAGTGTTATGAGTCAAATTACACAGCGTGGGAAAATTCCAAAGAACTTTTTTGTGAGCATTTTTGTAAGTCCGCTGGCAGTTGATAGGAGTGATCACAGAATTTGTATGAAAGTGACATAGGAAAGTATTCATCTTGGTGTTGCTCCACAGGAATTCGAGGGCAATGATCAAGGTCTCCATCCTGATGACATGTTAGTGGAGACTTGAATATAGGGCAGGACTGTCACTTCCTGGAAGTGACATATGAGGGCAGGAAAGAAACACACAAACCATCATGTTGATGCCAGGCAGATTGTGGTGTTGCCCGCGTTCTTTCAGACTAATAACTTAAATAAAAACTGAATTGTAAATCAAAGTTTTTAGAAAGTAGTCTGAGCAACCATGTTCTTGATGACAGAACCCAAGGTGGGATGTATAGACTAACTCACCACCCTGAAAAAAAGAGGGTCTTGTGCTTTTTGTTATTTTATGGAATTTGGGTGCAGATGGCTGCACTATTAATTCCATGGGCTGGGGGAAAAAAAAGGAAATATGAATAAATAAAAAAGTTCTTCCAACTTTGTAAAATAATTCACTCCTTCCCTTATTCACCAGACATCTAAAAATGTGTTAAGAATCTCGAACATTAATCAAACTGACACCTGTTACAAAAGAGTAAATAAAAACCTACAAATATCAATACTTTAACAGATGATCATGCATCTGTTCACATTTACGATAATGACCGTCTTGGTGGATGCATATCAAACTCAAGGAAGTATGTAATTTAATCTATATCAATTACATTTTTGTTAGCAAAGAATATAAAAGAAAAAGGTTTTTCATTGGTTATAAGACTAGATATCTGCTATACACCAATAGTTTTGGAACTCGTACATTCTGTGCATTGAAATTTACTATCGACATCTTATTATTAGTGGAACTACCGTTGTTCAGTATCTACTATCTACTTATTTGAAACTAAGCTAAATCATAGCCCCTATAATATATTCTACTGGATAAATGGTTACAATTTAATTTGCATAACATTTCATTCAAAGGTATTTTTTAGTGTTTGCATTTTTCCCATAAAAAATAACATAACTAAAACGAGAGACAATAGAGTAAATAAAAGGGAAGAATTCTAAAGCACTGTCTACTTTCTACATTTCTTACTGTCTGTTGTTCTGTCTATATTGGTACAATAATAATACTGACTTATACCATGTCTTTTTTTTCGGAGGGTGGGGAGGGGGGTTCTTTTTCCAATACTTTTTTGTTGTTGTAATTGTTAGGCAAACTGAATCACAGCCTCTAAGTTAATTAGAAGTAGACATTTTGTTCACAGTGCCTACAAAGACAAATGTCTATATCAGATTGTTATCAAATAATATCAGACATATTTAGTTTATTTACGTAAAAATAACATACCTCACAGTTCTGAAAATACTGATTATGTGCAGCTGACAAATGCTGTTTTATGCATGCTGGTTAAGAAGGATTGGAAATCCCAGCACATGAGCTTACAGTCTAGTACAGTATCAAGTAAATTTCTAGCAAGAGTAATAAGTGAAGTAGTGCTCTTTGTAAACATGCATACTAAAGCAGAGGTGTATGAGATGCAATGTGGGCAAAGAAAGAAGAACTTTGTAGGTGCTTGCAAGATAATGTTAAAGGGACACTATAGTCACCTGAACGACTACAGCTTTATGTAGTTGGTCTGGTGAATATGGTCAATCCCTGCAGGCAACACAGTGTTTATCCACTCATGTGCATTAGCCTCCCAATTCTTTCCTTTGGGAAAGCATTGGATTGGCTGAGATCATCAATTCTGATGATCACAGCCAAGTTCACCACCTTGGCGGAGCCAGTGTTAGCGGACCCGCGGTGCTGGAATAAAGGTGAGTTTTCTACTTCTTTAAGGGGGGTAAGAATACACATACATGTTCCTGACCCTACAGTGTTTTTTTAAGTAATCTGAAAATGAAGGCACATTCTGGAAGGTGCTATTGAGGTTTTACAACCTCTAGTTCCCAAAGTAATAAAGAAAGAAATCCAATGTCCAACATTTTCCGCAACCGTTTACAAAAATTACCATTCAAGATGACCTGGCAACATATTAACACCTTTTGCTCCCTGTCAATAATTTGAAGTGGTCAAAACAATAGCAGGTCTTCTGGATGTGATAAAGTCTTGTTGAGATTGTTAATGGGCATTGTATATTGTTATTAAACATTTGCAAAGTAGTGTATGAAGACTATGTTGGGAAATTGTAGTATTTTCAAAATTCTAGTTTAGGCTGCCTAATTAAGGAATTACAAGGTGAGTGACACAGATTGTGACTCTTCTATAAAAAATATTGCAAAACGGAATGATGGGTGGATTTGGGAAATAACTGTGCGGTAGCTGTTATTCAAAATGGACTAGATTGTGAAATTAGTTTTGATGTTTATTACCCTGGGATCTATGATAACAAGGAGGTATAAGAAAAAAAAATAAAGACTTTCAAAATATGAATAACCGATACAAAATAAACATTAACATCTGGATATTTTATTCATGAACTTCTTTCGGCCTATCATTTTGAAATAGCAGTAGGACAGATGGTAAAACAAAGACATGTTGAGTATTGCAATGAACAAGATGTTTAAATGGAGTCTTGCTGTCATTGGAATCAAGATGATAGTAGAATGGTAAGTTGTCGGTTCTAAAAATCTTTCTATGTATTCTTATAAGGAAGATAATTCTATAAATTAGAATTCTGCAATTAGCTGTGCAGGTTAGAATGTTGTTGCAAAATGGGGTTCATCCGATTTCCTTCTCAGTTTTGAAGAATACAGTGTTTCTCAGTAACCTGGTCATTGTGCTCGGAATAAATTATTTACATTGCTTAAAGGGCTACAGCTTATTATGGTAGTTATGATGTAAAGAGTCTATCACCCGACCATCAGTTTGTGTCAAAATATGTTGGAGTGCCTTGACAAAAACTTCAAACATCTACTGCGTGGCCCCTCACCTGAAGCTCACATGCTTATTAGGCCATCCAAATTTAAAGGACCACTCTAGGCACCCAGACCACTTCAGCTTAATGAAGTGGTCTGGGTGCCAGGTCCAGCTAGGGTTAACCCATTTTTTTATAAACATAGCAGTTTCAGAGAAACTGCTATGTTTATAAATGGGTTAAGCCTTCCCCCAAAGCCTCTAGCAGCTGTCTCATTGACAGTCGCTAGAGGCACTTGCGTGATTCTCACTGTGAAAATCACAGTGAGAGCACGCAAGCGTCCATAGGAAAGCATTGATAATGCTTTCCTATGCGACCGGCTGAATGCGCGCACAGCTCTTGCCGCGCGTGCGCATTCAGCCAACGGGGAGGAACGGAGGAGGATCGGAAGCAGAGAGCTCCCCGCCCAGCGCTGGAAAAAGGTACGTTTTACCCCCTTTCCCCTTTCCAGAGCCTGGCGGGAGGGGGTCCCTGAGGGTGGGGGCACCCTCAGGGCACTATAGTGCCAGGAAAACGAGTATGTTTTCCTGGCACTATAGTGGTCCTTTAAGTGTTAGTGTCAGCTGAGAATACTATTAGTGGGTTAGCCCAGTTCTCTAAGCTTACCATTGCCCAATAGTGATGTCCCGAACGGTTAGCTGAACGGTTCGCCGCGGACGGCGAATATATGCGGTAAACTTTGACCCTGTACCTCACAGTCAGCAGACCCATTCCAGCCAATCAGCAGCAGACCCTCCCTCCCAGACCCCCCCACCTCCTGGACAGCATCCATTTTACATTCATTGTGAAGCTGCATTCTCAGTGAGCTGTCCAGGAGGTGGGAGGGTCTGGGAGGGAGGGTCTGCTGCTGATTGGCTGGAATGTGTCTACTGACTGTGAGGTACAGGGTCGAAGTTTACTGCATATGTTCGCCGTCTGCTGCGAACCGTTCGGCGAACCGTTCGGGACATCACTATTGCCCAACATTGGACTCTTTAATACAGAATTGCACATCAATATTATGTGAGCAGCAGGAGATTGGTCAACTGTAGATGCATGAAGAACCTCTCCAAAATGATTTGATACCCACACATTAATTTCTCCATAAACACTAGAATGGGGTCTAGTAGTTTGGCTGATCTGATTGCCCTTTTAATACTCAAGCTAATACGTGTAAATTTTAGTAAAAATGTAAAAAAAATAACTGCGTGTGAAGTTTCGTAAAATGTTAGGACACATGATTTGTGCTCCATAAAACTCTGGTTTCAGATAAAAGAAACCAGATTTAGATTACACCAGAACATATATATGTTTTAAAGTTAGAGGTTCTACAAATATTAAAAAAAGCTTGCATTCCATCATTTGAAAATTTCGTAAATTAATTTATCACTCGTCTTTATTGTACAAGGTCATTGTGTGTTTTTATACGCACTTCTAGATGTGAACCTTTTTCATCTACTACCCAGAGAAGACGTTAAACTAATTGAAAGGAAAAGTAGGAAACAAAAAAAGACAATGATTTTTTAAGTGGGTAATTGCAATGTAATTTATTGCATTAAAAACAAATTGCTTTTAGACCAACTTTACTCAGACAGTCACTAGCAGATTATGATTAAGATCAATCTTTATCTATTGAGGCCACAGAAAGTGACTGTTTAAACCACTTAAAGGGAAACTCTATGTTTGACTTAATGCTTAATAATAATTGTTGCAACAGAAATGCATTTAATAAAATCTGCCTTAAAATGTTATGTTTTATTAGCTGCATAAATGGTTCCTATAGCTAACGAAGATCCACCCCCATTTTTCTTTGCACTTACTTCCTTGTCCATTCATATACTTCTCATTGCCAAGCATCAAGGACAAATCTCCTGTCCAAAGATTCTTATAGAATTGTGTGTGTTTTTGAGATTTAAGTATTCATATTTTAATGTCTAGTATCCTTATCCATAATGTCACTGTGTATTATAGGAGCTGTAGTCAAGCAGGGGCAGTCAGCTCCTTGCACT